TGTGCACTTAAGAAGCTTTGATTGCACACAGTTTGTCTGATGAGGATTCAGTATTATGATTTTGGTGCATTGCATTGGGTTTATATGGTGTTGTTATTACAGTAGATGATCCGTGTTGTCTTGGACCTGTCAGACTTCATTCTAGCTATGATTTCTAAATCCAGACAGTCGCTCTGGTAAGTAAAATGTCATCATAATTGAAATGAGTGACAGCCAAAACTACAAAAAAATCAGTAATAACCTGATTTGCCAGGAAGAAAGACGTTGGCAAATATTTAAGTAAATAAGATTTCAATATGTCGCCCATGTAAAGAGGTGGAATTACGCAGAGACTAAGAAGGGTTGGGAGAAGAGGTGAAAAGGGGGAAGACGGGGAAGGACGGGCGCACAGGAGGCGAAAGGTTACAGTTGCCAGGGGCGATGCTAGGGGCTTTCCTGAAGGGCTAGACGCACTGTACCAGCAGTCACCTGCCATCTATCACATGTGAAAGTTTGTGTGTGTGTGTGAGTCAGGGAGGTTCTGCCTGTCATATCGCTCTAATCCTGACTGACATTTATCCAATGGAGGCTTCGCTCATTCATCCATCCATCACGTTTTTCCATCCTTTGCTCTTCGCTTTATGTCCTTCCCTCCCTCTCTGCTTGTTGCTTCAGACAGACAGTTATGAACAAACCCTGCATACCAAGTGCTACCGCAAACACACACGTACACTCGATACGCAGGGCTTGACTGTAGCGTAAAAACTTGAATTCCAGATATTGCGATAGCAGCGTAGCACTGCAGCGTAGTTTGCACAGATCGGAGAAAAGATTGCATGTTTTTGTGTGTTTGTTGACCTGTGGAGCAGCCGTGATTGATGTTCCAAAAGATTCTTTCATTAGTGTTATGGTATGGTAGGTGGGATGTGTGTGAGCGTGAGTCTGTAAGTGCTTTGTGTGCGAGTGTGAGGCAGGCACACAAGTTTGCGTTTGTGTGTCTGTGGAGCAGCCGTGACAGATGAAATGGAAGATTCTTTCATTAGTTGTGTTTGAAGCTCAGCAGGGTCACAGAAACAGCGGACATTTAATTACAGCAGACTGAATGCTTCCCCCACTGACTGACACACACACACACACACACACAGACAGGCACGCACACACACACAGAGGGAGGTCTTTCACGGAACATGCTCCCAAAAGGTAATATTATAAACCACTCAGCAGGAGTGGTAACCCTGGACCCTCTCTACCTTTTCCTTTCTTTTTTTCCCATCTTGACTTTATTTCAACTTCTCTCTCTCTCTCTCTCGCTCTCTGTCTATCTCACTCTCTCACTCGTCCTTTCATTGTGAGCTAAGTATAGCAGCAGTAATGGTGATGGATGCAGATGGAGCAAGCATGTCTTAAATGTCAAACTCAAATGAAAATCACTGTTCCAGTGAGAGAGTCATGTGGACACAACCAGTGTTATTTAACTCTCGTACATATAAATACACACAGATGAAGTCCTACACAGTGTGGACTGCTATAACAATGAACAAATGGATCCTCAGAAGGGCATAAAAAGTAAAATCAAATTATACAGTATCTGACAAAACAGTCTAAATTAAGATAAAATACCAAATTGTGTTTTTCACTAAATCCTCTCACTGAAACATTAAAATCAAGTTTATTTGGTTTATAATTAAATGAATAAAGTTGCTCTAATTGTATGATATAAAACTCATCTGAATCCCTTTTTATTTTTCCTTTAAGGGCTTTAAAATTGGCTAAATCATCTTAATATTCACTATGAGCTTGTTCCGGCTCTTCATTAAATCTACTTAGAGATTACATTGAGGAATACTTAAACTCAAGCTTTTGCTGCAGTGCCACCTTTTTCTTTGATAAGTGATTTATATTCTTGAACTTGACCCCACTTTCTCTGTCAGGAAACACACATGCTACATTTTTTTAGGATTCAGTGATTTTTGTGAACATGCCATGAAGTGGGAATATTGTGGATGTTTTCTAAATTGCGCTTTACGGATTTCACATTCAGCCTGGTGTACTTGGTTTCCTACCAGTGCAAACGCTTTTGCTTACTGGAATTGAAGGTTTGGATTAGAGGTGTTACAAATCTGAAACTGTGACCAGAATCACGACACAAACAAGTACAAGGGTGTCGGGCCTTGTTAGAGCATGTCAGTCTGTAAAAATTGTTTGTTCATGGGGCAGTTGTGATCAAGTAATTAGTCCTGTAGTAAAAAGAATGTGTTTTTTTTTTTTCACTCTTTGTTATTTTTCCCCTCTAAAAAAAATAATTGTATTAATCAAACCTCAGCTTCAGAGAGTTGTTAGTTTGTTGCACAGTGAAGAAAGGTTTTTGACACTTTTTGAGATCTGGAGCGATTTTTTTTTTTGTGAATGTTTCCTGACAGACAGCTCATGCAGTATGTTTCATGTCATTGTCACAGTGAGAAGAGATGATGTGGAACTAGTGGTTGTGGAAATCTGGGGGTTGCCATCACACTACCAGAGTATTATTGTCAACATACTTATATGAGTGTGTGTGTGTGTGTGCGCGCGCTCATTTTACAGCATCGTTTCATATTTAATGAATGTCTTCAAAATGAACATCTCCTTGTTGAACAACACAGTCCTGCAGAGGTTTAGTCACTTACTTTGATGTCAGATATGCTGAGACGTGACACAATAGAGAGAGCTGCTCTCTCTTCCTCTCCCCAAAATAAGGACTGATATTCTTCGGCTCTTTTGTCTCTTAGGACTTTGAGACAGACAGTCGTGATTTACTCCAAGTAGCAGTGTGACTGAGTGTGTCTGTTCAATGATTCAGAGGTATGAGTTCATCTGCAGTCTTTGAGTGTGTCTCTCTGTATGTGTATGTTATTTTTTTATCAATGGAAAATAGGGTGTAAGTGTTTTTTTTTTCCTTGTAGTTTGTCAAGTTTTCTTCCCATAGGATGAGGCTTCTTAGACAAATTAATATTCACAAAATAATCTGTGGCAGCCTTGGACGTTTCTATTTGAGGTTTTAACAAAGCAGGGTTATTAATACAAAGGCTAACCGACCATCGTGTGACAACGAGGCCTTATATTGAATTGTCCTTAAATACTTTCCAACTTGTTAAATAATTTGATTTATTGATTCAAATGCAGATTTCAAATAATACTCGTGTTTGCTTGTTTTCGCGTGAGGGCACACAAACGAAGTCGTGGGAGGTTTGCGTAGCACAAAAATGATTCAATAGCTGCACGTAACGTGATGGTCTTAAAAGGGCACATTTCTCTTATGCTGCAATGCTGTAGGGACTCAGTGTGAATGGAGGGAGTGTGAAAGAAAGACAAAAAGAGGAGTGGGACCTCTCCATCACTCCGGCTGTGACCTTCCAAGAGTCACGCTCTTATAGAGTACAGAACTAATGCCTCAATATATTATCTGAATATGCTGCATTATCATTATGCCTCTCTCTCTCACGATCACTCTCGAAGTCTCGCATATACACACTCAAAAACAGAACACGGAGACATGCAGAGATGCTCTGGCGTTTGTCTGTGCAACTTTCGGTGCGTGCGTGCACGCTGCAGGTCAGAGAAATAGAAACTGAGAGGAAGAAAGAACGAGAGAGTATGACACAAAAGAGTTTGTCCTTATGAGTAACTGTTCTCTCGCCCTCTCTCTGTGCTCTGTATTGTGTGTAAAGAGGTTTGGAGGAGATAACACAGAGACTTCCTGGACAAGAGCAAGGTCAACACATGCACGCCATCGCTGACACTTACTAATACATGCGCACAGTGCTGGCAATCTGGTACACAGTAGCAAGTGAGAAGAGACGAGGGACTGCTGGAGACTGGGGAGATAAGGAGGAAATGTCACGCCATTATTTTGTATGAGAAAATGGCCAAAGATGTGAACAGTCAGAGTTTCGTCTAATCCTGCCAAACACTGAGCGTCAATGAGTGTACTGCCCATTATCATTCATATGATGCCACAGTTCAGTGCATGTGATCTGAGTTAGTTTTGGACATTAGTGGCTTTGAACTATACCATAGTTGGGCTATTTTTTTTTTTACTGTTGAAGTATTCTGGGGTTTGTGTGATTGATGATCCTGAGGTAATAGCACTGGTCCGAGGTAGATTGAGGTCCTTGACTTGAAGATGTACTGTAGACTGCAAAGTGAGTGTGTGTGTGTGTGTCTGCAGGGCAGGATCGCAGCGAGACAGCTCTCATCAGGCGTTTTAAGGGCGATGGCGTCCGCTACAAGGCCAAGCTCATTGGCCTGGACGAGGTTACCGCCGCCCGTGGAGACAAACTCTGCCAGGACTCGATGATGAAGCTCAAGGTAAGAAGAGTCTTTCTCCTCCTCTTGATCCGTCTCAAATTACAAATTAATTGCACCATTTTAAACTCGCCGTTAAAACAAACTTTCCACGGTAGTTGCGAGCAATTAAAAAAAAAACTAGAAGACGTCAACACCCAGAATTAATGTTATATTACAGCCTGCAGCTGCATGAAGTTCTGTGACCCACAAAAGACATCAGTTGCCAGCTTCATGCATATTCTGAAGTTCAACATTTAAATATGCATGTTTTGTTCATCGTAGCATTACTGCGCTTTTGACGGTGTGCGCATGCATATAGAGTTTGTTGCCGTCTTTCTATGCAAATTGCTATAAGCGAGAAGTCGAATAGGAAGGGTAGAAAATGGGGTTGTTATCATTTATAGGGATGACGATGATCAGTGCAAGAGGAAGTAAAGGAGGTTAGCCATATGGATGAGAAGGGGATTGGGATGAATGTCTCATTTGCAAGGACGGAAACAATTAGAGGGAGGGGTAGACAGATGGGGCAGTTAGCAGCGAGGAGATGGCATATAGGAGGGGAATCATTTGGATGATAGGTGAAAAAGAGACATGAGTGAGGATGAAGATGAAGAAAAATAGGCCATTTTCTATTCAGGCCTAATGAACGACCTTGTTTTCTGAAATAATTGATTGCAGAATTATGAAAAACAGGCTTTGAAATTCTGTTACATAAAAAGTGTTGAAATTTTCCCCCAAGAAGTCGCATCTTTAAACAAAACCTAGATTTTGCATCTTGTCTCTACAAATGTATGCTGAAAGAGTTTGAAAACGCTGTCGGAGTGAAGAGTGCCTCATTCATTATTAATTTCCCTTTAAATCATATTGCAGGAGATATTTGAATTGAGAAAATTACATTTACGCTTTGTTTACGTGTAGTGAAAACTCTATCCAGCGGAGACCCGTAAGGGTGAGAAGAGGACCGACAGCTCATTGATCAAACAGCTTCCCTCCTCCTCATTTATTCAGACAGAAAATCCATCAACTCCTTTTCTCTGATCTCTCCACCTTTTCTTTCATACTGCTCCTCCCTTTTCTATCCGGAATCTGTCGTTTTTGTGATCCTGCTTCGCTCCTGTCTTCTTTTTGTGACTCGCCTATGCAAATGGTGACGAGGTGAAAATGGAGAGAAACTTAAACCTTTACATATACTTACAGCTATAAATAATCAGTATGTCGTTTGACTGTATGCTGAGTGCATCGTAGCAGTTGTACTGTGTTAAAAGCACGTTCCCAAACCTTTTAAACAAGTTATATAAATTAAGTTGTTCAATTCCGCAGCAAGCTATTTTTAAGCAAAGCAACTTTTTATTATTAAAGAAAAACTATCGTAACATTTCTGACATTCTCAATAAACTAGTAATTGATATCGATCTCCTTTCACATCATCCCTAGTCTTTTTGTAGAAAGAATGCATGGTGTCCTGGTACACAATATAGATATGGATGAGAATAAATGAGAAACCTGCCACAAATAATTTAATTAGAAGTTGATGCCAGTATATGAAACTCATTGCTGATTTTTTTTAAAGACATAGTTATTACCTTTATTGACAGCCGTTGGCAACTGCATGTACATTTCTATACTGCTTCTGACATGGTTGTATGGATTGTGTTTCTGTGTGTGTCTGTGTGTGTGCATCCTCAGGGAATAGCTGCAGCAGCGCGGTCTAAAGGAGAACACAAACAGAAGGTGTTCCTGACCGTTTCCTTTGGAGGGATCAAAATCTTTGATGAGAAGTCAGGGGTAAGTTCTGAAGCAAATTTGATTCTCTTTACTTGTGGGTCTGTGTTTGTGTGTGTGTTTGTGTGTTCGTGCACTTGTGTTTCATCTATTAATGAGGCATCTCCATAAGAGGGAGGGGCCCCCGGGGAAATCAGGAGGCCCTAATTGAAACCCTGAGAACAAGGCCTCAGTAGATGAGAGAACATGGCCGTCCCATTGTCTTCCTGTGTGCAAACAGCAACTACACTGGTTTTATATTATGCCCCAGGATTAGGCATTTTCCATCTTACATGGCTGCTTTTTTGGCTAACTGATATGATCTGTCCAGACTTCATCGACCGTTTTCAATCAATCCCCTGGTTTATTTTTTAGCTCTGTTTACTGTCTGTTAACTGACCCTGACTCTCCCTCTATCACTTAATTTGCTAGCTGTTTTTCCCAGTGGCTGATAAGATCTAAGACTTACTTAAATCCATGCAAAAAAGCAATAAAACAAGAAGTGTAATATTGAATTTACTGGCAAGTACCCACAACCCGTAGATATATTTGGAGCAGACGCAAGTGGAGAAGAAGATTAATGTAGTTATAGAAAGGCCAGTGTGTAGGATTTAGTGGCTTCTAGTGGAGGTTTGCATTGGAACAAATTTAATGGACCTTCCTTCCTCTTGCTTCCCAGCTCAAATCTACTTAACGTTGCACATAACGGATTCCTTGGAAGTGCATACAAAAACATAGTTGCAGGTTGTTATAATTAAATTATAATTATGACTACCATATTCCATCTATGGTAATAGGTAATGCCTATAACCTACACAGGGTTCTTTAAATGCCATTGCAGAGTAAATATGATTGTAAATCAGGGAAAATGGCCAGGTTTGTTTAGGATTATTTGATTGGTGTTATTTAGGCTCAAACCTGTGGTACCTGTCATTGTATCCTTAATCAAGAACTATAATATCTACCTTTCCAAGAATATGGGTCCTCTGGTGACTAAAGTGGCCTTTTCCCCCTGTTTTCTGTGTCTAATAATAATAATGGATTGGATTTATATAGAGCTTTTCAAGGCACCCAAAGCACTTTACAATGCCACTATTCATTCACTCTCACATTCACACACTGTTGGAGGCAAGCTACAGTTGTAGCCACAGCTGTCCTGAGGCAGACTGACAGAAGCGAGGCTGCCATATCGCGCCATCAGCCCCTCTGGCCAACACCAGTAGGCAGTAGGGTCGTCTTGCCTAACAACGACCAGGACAGAGAGCCCAGGGATCGAACCGGCGACCTTCCGGTTATAGATGTGCTTCCCAACCCCCTGAGCCACGGTCTTCCCTGTTACTTCCCTGTTACTTCCCTGTTACTTCCCTGTTACTTCCCTGTTACTTCCCTGTTACTTCCCTGTTACTTCCCTGTTACTTCCCTGTTACTTCCCCGTTACTTCCCCGTTACTTCCCCGTTACTTCCCCGTTACTTCCCCGTTACTTCCCCGTTACTTCCCCGTTACTTCCCCGTTACTTCCCCCGTTACTTCCCCCGTTAACTCTTTACCCCTTGAAAGCCTACTAGGAGTAACCCGTAAAGAAGTTTCTCTCATATTGCATCAGAAGTTAATGAGGGTGGTGTCTGCCCTTGGAAAAACAGGGAAACTATTTCAGTGGTTGTCAAACCACATCCTTTTTGATATTTATTTATGTTTTCGTTAAGGGTCCAGAGGAAATCATCCAATATTGCCTTTATGTGGGAAAAAAGTTAAATTCTATAAACGTGTAAAAATCTGTCCCAACGAATTAATGTTGTTATTTTGAGGTGTTTGGCTGAGTTGTGCTGCAGCAATTCTTTCCGTGTGTTTGTTTTTATATTCATCTTCGCAGCTGCAGAAAAATAGGCTTATTTTTTAAACATAATACAGCAACTGTTTTTTGATGTGTACATATGCAGCGTGAGCTGTCTGTTTCACTGTCTGGCTCTGAGTGTGTCTGATTGTGAATGTAGACTGGTTTAGATAGAATATAAAGCTCGCCGCTCCATACCGAGCTTTAGTGGTTGACACGGTAAGCCTAAGATTTACACTTTGTCGGGAGCCGGAATGAGCTGACACTGTATGTGTGTGTACCCAGCAGTGATTCAAAAGTACCTTGTATTAGACAGGCAAGACTCAGTAAACAACGACCACCCACGTGGCAGCCATGTTGAATACAAGCACATTCAATCCTTTGTACCTCTTCTTATAACACTCATAATCCTTATCGTATTTCTCTTCTTGATGGCTCAAAATTTAGACACTGAAGGATAACAAGAGCTAAATAGAAAAGTGAGTGATAGATGCAGAAGTAGAGAGCTAGAGTTGTAGAGGAGAATAAGCAAGAAAAGTCCAAGGGGAAGGAGGAGGGAAAAAAAGGATGTGAAAAAGATAAATAGAGGAAGCGTGTGATAGAGGAGCAGAAGCAGACTGAAACAGAGTTAGAGGGATAGGTGGAGAATCAGTAAGCATATGTCAAAGTAAAGCTCTCTACAGGGAGACCTTGTCCTCTGTCTCTGCACATTAATATTAACTATAGAGATATGCTGTCCTTACTATCAGCCCTTCAACCACTCCTAATGGCAAAGGAGGGAGGGAGAGAGGGAGAGGGGAAGAAAGAGAGAATGACTCTGCTGAGGTTCAGGGATCTTGACAGTCTCATTCCCCTCCTGCGCATCAGTCAGCCAGATGGGTGGATGGATGTATGGGTGAACGAATGGATGGATGGCCTCTCTCTTGGAGTAGGGAAGGTCGTGCAGGATGGAGGGAGGTGGTGCTTGAGATGGAGGAGAATAAGAGGGGAGACATTAATCTAACAGAGGGCAGGCCAGCATGCCTCTCTTCCTGTCAGCCTCTCACTTAAAACACACGCATGTGCATATACATAGAGACACTTGTGCATTACTACCCTCTTCAACCCCTTTGGCCAAGTCTCAGAAAGGGGACAATACCAAGGCAGATGAAAAACTAGCCTGAGTGAATTGCTGAAATGGTTAGTTTGCTCGCTGCTCCTCAGAGAGATCAGAAAGATCAACTTTTCTGCCAGTAGAAAAGACCATAAACAACTGGTGTCCAGACAATTCAATACATTTCATTTGGGCCTTATCAGATATATTGTCACTGAATGCAGACAAGGACCTACCCAATTTATAGTATTATTTGGTTGGTGGGGCTAGAGGAATGAAAGGGGCTGAAATTAGAGAAGGCCATAGGATGAGCCTTGGGGTGGGGGGTGGCTGTGAATTAAGCAGTGCTTGTTTTCAATGAACAAGTTTCATCATTAATCGTTTTACACTAAGGATGAGAAAAGGTGCCAAATAGGGGATACAGGAATGTGATTTTGACATTCCTTGGGCAAGACACTTCACCTACCGCCTACTGGTGTTGGCCAGAGGGGCCGATGGCGCAATATGGCAGCCTCGCTTCTGTCAGTCTGCCCCAGGGCAGCTGTGGCTACAACTGT